CGTGTTGTGCTTTTACTACTGACTCCTTAAAGAATACACCCTTGCGGGATCGTATTACAAAGTCACGCAATTACATAATGATTAACTGGGATATCGTCACACCCACTTTGTTTTTTGCTTGGTTGCCAATGATTGTCAAGTGAGATTTGGCATGATTTAATTCCATTTTTATGCTGCATGCATTTGTGACAACTACAGCCTCTTTTTCGTGTTTTCGTAAAATCCGAGCCTATATAGTGTATTAAATCATCTATGCAAGAAAATGAATAAAAATAGCCGCGATATTATGCTATTTTCATCGAAGAAATGTTTTTTTCCTTTTTCTTTGTCGAGAACTTTATTGAAAATTTGCACATAGACCTTTAACAGTTAGACCGCGAATCCGAGTGGACTACGAGTTGATAGACTATGAGGCCCGTACTCGACCATCACCAAAAATTAGACCCATGATTGTTTTAGGGTGCTTTCCACATTTAGGAAGAACTGGCTTTTTCAGTCATTTCGAGGTTTTCCGTAGAATGATGGATAGAATTTGAAAATTTGAATTTCCTAACTAAATGGGGTGATATATAATGGCATTTTATCTGGGTCTGGCCAACCAGTTCTGACAAATGGAAAACGCTTTTATTCCTGACACTAAACACCGATGTACATTGCTGCTGATGCCACGAGGCTTATCAACTTATCCAGCATCTTCACGATTTACATAAATTACAATACGAACGATTTGCATATCATTACATCCCTCTTCTTCTTAAAGATAATACTCTGGTACTAATACTAACTCAACAGTTCAGAATTACTCTACTTAGTGTTCAATGTCCTGTGAATCCGCATCTGTCTGATGGTTTTACTGAACGTCCACTTCGGGTAGTGACTTGCGGCTTGGTCTGTTCTTGGTTCGTTTCATTCGGGCCTGCTGTTGGGTTTTGATGGCATGGAGCTTGAATAACTTGACAAGGACATCAGGGTATGGTCAAAACCAAGAAGCTGCTAAGACAAAAAGTGTGGTTTCATCGCATGAACAGCATGGTAGAAGCCAAAGTCGCATCTTGTGGCGCATGTCAAGTTTCCACACCCTTTACAACTCGTGAACCGTTGAAAATGTACCCACTACCAGCTTCAGCCTGGAAAGAAGTGAGCATCGATTTCAAGCACTTATCTGCACATGAATACCTACTAGTTATCACCGACGACTACTCGCGGTATCCTGTTGTCGAAGTAGTGAAATCGACTTCAGAAGCAACTGTTATACCTGTAATAGACAAAACATTTGCTACGTTTGGGATCCCTGAAATCGTGAGATCGGACAATGTACCACCATTTAGTTGAAAAGAATTAAAAGAATTCGCCCAGACACTCGGATTCACACACTGGAAAGTAACTCCACTGTGGCCAAGAGCCAATGGAGAAGTTGAACGCTTTATGAGGACACTGAAGAAAGCTATCCTAGCAGCCAGGACAGAAGAAAAACCCTGGAAGACAGAACTGTGCAAACTATTAAGGAACTATCGATCAACGCCACATAGCACAACAGGCATTGCCCAATCAACCGCGTTGTTCAACAGACCAATGCGTAAAAAACTACCAAGCATATCTCAACCAACTAGCGATACTTCCATGATTGCACAAGCTGATCAACGGGCCAAAGAAAAGATGAAAGTTTATGCTGATAGCAAAGCTTACGTAAAACCATCAAATATCTCTGTTGGTGACACTGTTATTGTCAAAAGAGAGCCTTCTGCAAAGAAGTCACAATCATCTTACAAGCCAGAACCTTATACAGTAACTGAAAGGAAAGGTTCCATGGTCACAGCAAAGTCAGGAGACAAAGTTACAACCAGAAACTCTTCATTCTTCAAGCAGATCCCTGAAACCTGTTTGAAGGTACCAGACAGCAACGTGGATATAGATGATCATTGTGTAACCRCCCGAACTGACGACAAGATACAGAATTATATAACTCCCAACCCTGAAGATACCTCAAGTTCTACAAGGCGCTACCCTGAACGCGACCGACGTCCACCCAAATACTTGAGCGACTATGTTAGATAGGACTTTGTTATCATGATCAACTACTTGTTACGTACATGTTAAAAAATGTAATCTATATATATACGTTGACATTTTACAGTGTAGTTCAACTCCCATGAGGGGAGGAATGTAATTTCCTGTGACGTAATGTATATTATGGGATAAGGACGGTAAATAAAGCAGAGCACATGCTTTCTGGTTCTCTTGAAAACATAACATTGACTGCAGTTTGAAATTTGGCGAGCTTTATTTAAATTTTTGAA